CCCGCGCTGCCCCGCCCGCGCCCGGCCCAGGGCTGCCCGCCGGTGCCGGGCTGCGCTAAGACCTGCTTCGTCCCAGCCCGACAGGCGCTGCAGCCCGTGCCCGCGGGGTCGTCCGCACCTGGCAGGGAAGGTAAGACCGGGCTGGGTGCTGCACGCCTGCCTCGCTCGCTCGGCCTCCCGCGGCGCCCTGCCCTGCCCTGCCCTGCCGCGGGGGAGCGGGCAGTGGAGAGCGGAGTGGCGCCAAGCACCAGCCGGCTGTCTGCTGGTTCCCGTCGTGGAGCCGCTGCCTGCCCTGCACCTCGGCCCCCTGCCCTCCGCGCCGGCTCCTCCTGTGGGAGCGAGCAGGTCTTGGCAGAGCTGCCCGTGCTGGTTTCTCAGGGAAAGCTCCCCTCCAGCGGCGGGAGGAACAGCAGCGGTGGGGTCGGAGCGCTTATCTGGGCTGGGGGAGCCTGGGTCAGGACTGGATCAGGCAGTGAGGACTTGTTGGCCTGGCTCTCCCTCAACTCCAGCAGGTGCCTCACCCCCCTCAGGGCAATTCTGGGCTGATCTCCCTCGCTCTTGCCAACAAAAGCACTTAGACCAATTTCAGTCCATCCTGGCACAGAATCAAAGCAGGAACAGGCACCACCTTTTTTTCCAAACAGACCTCTGGTTTCTGCCAGCCCATCCTGATGCTGCCTCCCCACCCCGCCTCAGTAATTCCTGACTGCTGCCCAGGGAAACGCAGCCTCAAAGGGTGGTGGGCTGAAGTGTGCAGAGCAGCACTGAGCAGGGCTCTATTTTAGATCCAGCAGCCTAGTACTGCGAGCCTCAGAGCTACCTGGCTGCCAGGAGCTGTGCAGAGCAGCCCAGGAGACGTTCAGCTAAAAGTCAGGAATAACCAGAGAAATGGCAGTCTAGTTACCCCCTGCTCTGAGCCACGGAGTCCTAGGCTGCTTGGGGAAGGGAGCAGCTCTCTGCTGTGCTGTCCTGACACCCCTACAGGCAGCCTGATGCTGATGAGTGATGGGATGTGTGGTTCTCTAGGCTCTTTCTGAAGGCATCGCTGCTGTTCCAGTATCCAGCTGTCCATGTATCTGGCTTGCCCTGAGCTGGCCACCCTGGGCTGTATTGTGTTGCATTGTTTGTGCGGCAGTGCAATCACTCTAGCCATGCACTACCTTAATGAAGGTAAATATGAACCCTTTCTTGCTAGCACCTGGACGCCTGCCGTAACAGGATAACAGGTCCCTGGAGGTTCTCTCAGTACCTTTGTTTTCCAAATACACAGGCAGACTGCAGATCCCCTGTGGGCAGAACAGGGGACACCAGTGTAACCAAATCTGGCTGCCTGGGGATTTTGTTTTGTGCTCAGGAGCTGCAGGGGGCAAGTCCTCAGCCTTTGTCTCAGTGGTGTCTGTCCTGCACATAGGGGGTAGGCATTGCTCAGTGGATAGAGCAGGATGACCGGGGAACTGGCATTTCTCACTCCTGTCCATGGGAAGGGACCTGGGAAGTTCTGTGCCCTTACTGCCTCAGTTTCCCCATGTGCAAATGCAGAGCCATAAAATTAGCATTGGTTGGAAGCTGACATCCTGAATGGAAGGTGCCTGTTGCTGTGTCAGATTCCCCCCAGGGAAAGAGCCACAGACCCAGTGGTCACTGGCCCAACCACTTCTGAAAGTCTTGCATAACCATATGAGAGAAATATTTCTCCCTGGGGAAAAGTCTGTGCTTCACTTCAGGCTCCAATATGTTTCCACAAGAGACTGTTGGTTCCTTGCATCCCATGCCCCCTGGCCTTCCCCTCCCTGAGCTGTCTTTTCCTGGGGCAGGTCTCCTGAGCTCTGCTAAGGGACCTGAATCTGTATGGTGTACGGTACAATGAAGTTGGGTCCTGTAGCTGATCTGCCTCTCCTCTGCCTCCCAGCGGGTAGAGGGACTGTGCTGGACGAGAATGCCCATTCTCACCTCGCCCGAGATTGCCACCAAGTTCAAAGAGAAGTGGCTGCAACTACACCCCGAGGACCAGGACAATGTCAGTGGGGCTGTGACGCTGGATGACAGCCTCACCAGCCTGCAGTGGCTCCAGAATTTCTCCATCCTCACCACTGGCCCTGAGAGACTGCCTGCCCTGGGCCACCATCTCCACCAGCCTTGTGGGAAGTCTTTCCAAAATGCCGAAGCCCCTGCCAGCCCCCCAGCAGGAGACACTGCAGCCAAGGGGATGCCCCCAAACCTGGGCAAACCTACCTCTGCAGCCACCTCCCCTGGCACTGGCCAGCTGCTGCCCCTCACCAGACTTCCCCTTGGTGCCCTAGAGATCGATTACAAGAACAACACCACAGTGAAGCCTCCTTACTCCTATGCCACCCTCATCTGCATGGCCATGCAGGCCAGCAGGCAGGCCAAGATCACCCTGTCTGCCATCTACAGTTGGATCATGGAGAACTTCTGCTACTACAGACATGCTGACCCCAGCTGGCAGGTGAGTTGGCAGCTTGAATAATTAATGCTCCTGGTGAGGCGATGCATAATGGAGGCTGCTGTCTGTCAGCAAGAGCACTGGTACTCATTAAGCTGATAAATGAGCTGCTGCATTTAATTCCCTTTGCCTTCAGTTATATCCCATAGCACCTCTGTCCTGCAGTATGAGGGGGTGGGGGATGGCAGGGAGGGAGCCTGTCTGTCTGTCTTGCTTCTTGGACGGCATAAGCATTCTATTTAGATGCTTTGCAGGTTCTCTAATGGCTTTCTGCTGGAGTGGTGAAAGCCTGAAATGTGCTTCCAAAATCCTCTTTTCTGTAGAAATCTGCATGGTCTTTGTCATTCTGAGTGAAATACAGGGAGCTCTGTGGTGGGTCATGCTGGCTTTCTGAACACATACAGCAAACCTGCAGAGCAGTTTCCTGCTTATTCCCACCTGGAGTCTTGCTGGCTGAACAGACTGCCTCCTTGGTGATTCACTTCAGCATAGTGAGGGGGACCAATTTCTGTTCTTATCTTTCTTCTAAGAACACACTGGGATCCTGCAAACCAGAGGAGGAGCAGATTCCCCACCTCATGTGGCTTGTCTAGACTCAAGGCCAGATGGATCCCTTGCAGTAGGAGCAGCAGGAGGAATCTGCTTTGGTGGTGGTTCCCACAAGGCATTAGCTGGTCCCTGAAGGTGCTATACATGAGTCAGGTTGGAGGATTTAACACTCCCCAGCAAATTCACTGACCTCCCACTTTACAGGCACTCCCTGCATCCCAACCCCTAGGATTCCAGAATTGTCAGGCAGGTGACAGAAGACTGTGAAATTGGCTTTAAAATCATGAAAAAGAGAACATAAAGAGGGCTGGGTTCTGGTTTCTCTCCTAGTGTCAGAGCCATTAGAGCCTGGTGTCAGTTCCTTTCCCATGAGGGCCATACATTTTAAATTAAAGCTGAGATTCTTATGTAGGTACATGACTCCCAGTGCCCCCTGGTACGGTGGGCACTGGCAGAGCTGCACTCAGCACATCACCAACATGGCTCCATCTCCTGGGCAGTAAGGGGGCACTATGGACACCTGGAACTGACAAAAACCAAAGCCCAAGCCATTAGCTGGCGTGGGGCCCTTTGCTCCTTTCCCATATGTAAGCTTCCTGGCTAGTAGGGCTGTGCAAAATGGCAGCGTTCTGTTTCGAATTTTGTTTTGACTCGAAACAGCTGTTCTGCTCCGTTCCATCGAAGCGGCAAAACTGTTTCGATGTTTCACCCATAGGATATAATGGGGAAGGTCAAAACAGCCTATAACTTTGGCATTTCTGGCCTGATTTGGATGAAACGTGCATGGATGGTAGCCCCTTCTGAGGGCATGAAACCTGCCAAGTTTCATGGAGATAGGTGCAGGAGGTTTGGAGAAACTGCACCCAAATTCTTGAAAGCAAAACTCATGTCACGTGTATGTGTTAAGCCACAGCAGGGTCAAAACTGCGGGCATGCTAGCCCCTGCTGAGGCTATGAAGCCTGCCAGCTTTCAAGGAGATAGGTGCAGGGGTTCTGGGGCCCTGCACCTCTGGCTGCTGACAGGCAAAACTCGTGTCATGGGTGCTTGTGGAACTGTGTCTGTCTTGGGGCACGGGCAGGGGGGACTACTGTAGGCTTGGCTGCTAGGCCCTGCTGCAGCCGCAAAGCCTGCCAGCTGTCAAGGAGATTGGTGCAGGGGGGTTCTGGGGCCCTGCGCCCTAGCTGCTCACAGGCAAAACTCATGACATGGATGTTTGTGCAACTGCTGCCTCACAGCAGGACTGAAGATCCCACATCACTTGCCATCACAGACCTGGGGGTAATAATTGACCACAGTATAAACATGAGCTGGCAGTGCACTGCTGTAGCCAGCAGGGCCAGCAATACTCTGGCATGCATCAATTGATGCATCTCCAAGAAAACCATTGCAAAGAAGTGATTCTCCTGCTCTACTCGGCTCTTCTCAGCACTGGTGAGATCGCAGCTGGAGTACTGGTCCCATTCTGGTCTCCACACTGTAACAAAGATGTGGTAGAGCTTGAGAGAATCCAGAGAAGGGCTACCCATATAATCAGAAACTTGCATGGCAAGCCATATGAGAGACCTGGGGCTCCATCCTGAAAAAGAGAAGGCTGAGGGGACTTGGTAGTAACTTACTGCTACATCAGAAGTGTACATCTAGGGATCAGTGAACAACTGTTCACCAGGGCACCCTTGGGGAAAACTAGGAGTAATGGTCACAAACTCCTGGAAGATGATTTCAGGCTTGTTTCAAGCTCAACATTAGGAAAAACTACTTCACAACTAGGGAGTCCAGACTGTGGAATAAGCTCCCTTCAGAGGTGGTGCAGTCAGCTACCCTGGAAATCTTCAAGAGAAGATTAGACAGTCACTTTGCTGGGTTCACCTGACCCCCAGCTGTCTTTCCTGCTTGGTGCAGCAGGCTGGACCCGATGATCTTCCAAGGTCCCTTCCAGCCTTACAATCCAGGAATCTGAGTGGCTGGAGCCTAAATCTTAGGAGATATGGCTTTGGAACGGTTCTTCCAGGCCCCAGAAACCCCTTGTACCGATCTTGACAGCTGGCAGGCTTTGTGACCACAGTAGGGCCTAGCAGCCAGGCCTGCCATGATTTCCTGCCCCCCACCCCTCCGTGCCCCAAGACAGACACAGTTGCCCAAACACCCATGACACGAGTTTTGCCTGTCAGTAGCTAGAGCTGCAGGGCCCCAGAAGCCCCCTGCACCTATCTCCTTGACAGCTGGCAGGCTTTGTGGCTGCAGCAGGGGCCACCATCCCTGCAGCTTTCACCCTGCTGCACCTGAACACAGCGTTACCCATCTCATGAGTTTTCTTGTCTGGAGCTTGAGGTACAGTTCCACCCAAACCCCTGCACCTATCTTCTTGAAACTTGGCAGGCTTTGTGGCCGCAGCAGGGGCTACCATACCTGTGGTTTTGACCCCGCTGTGGCTTAACACATACAGGTGACATGAGTTTTGCTTTCAAGAATTTGGGTGCAGTTTCTCCAAACCCCCTGCACCTATCTCCATGAAACTTGGCAGGCGTCATGCCCTCAGAAGGGGCTACCGCTCCTGCAAGATGCATCCAAATCAAGCGAGAAATGACAAAGTTATAGGCTGTTTCAGCTTTCCCCATTATAGCCTATGGGCAAAATGGCAACATGTTCTGACTTTCCTCGTTTTGTTTCAAGGCTGTTTTGACTACATCTGTTGCATTTTAATTTTGCTGTTTCAGCCTCGAAATGGGTCGAAACAAAACTGGTGGTGAAATTTCGTACAGCCCTACTGGTTAGCAATGTGCTAGGCTGCAAGTGCCCTGCTGAGGCAGCTTTGGCTGAGGGGCCAGGCCTAAGCCGCTCCACAGGGCTTCTGCAGAAGCTACAGTTTAAGCCAGACCTTTATTCCTGCTCTCCACAGACCAATCCCCAGGGAGCCACGGGGATTT